CTCACCCCTAATTTCGCGCCCATTGCGGATCCGGAGGGATACTACCATATATATATATATATACTTGTGTAGACTTGTCATACGAATCAGCTTTCCTTTAATACCGACGGCATCTATGGGATGACGACTTCACAGTGTTACACAGTTTGCCTAGTTGTGTAGCCAATGGTGCCAAAAATCACGGTTCTTACGTTAAAAATACGCATATTGTGCTGGCAGCACATTATATATATATATATATATACTTAGATGTACTGATACTTCAGGACCTTCGCTGCTAAGATAGGAACGCGCGCACCTATACTTCGAAATTTTATGGAGTGCTCTTAGATTTTGCAAATAAAACGATGTCGAGAAAGTAGCTGACACTCGTACCCTATCGCAGCATTTTTGCTGAAGGTTTATAAACGATTCAACGTGTAACTTTGAAGTGCCTAGTATGCCGCTTCAGCGCAAGGGATCATGACGTCAACCGCAATAAACCGGTTCTCGCAAAAGCACATCTTCAAGTTTTCGATGGAAGCACTGTCACGCACAAAAGCAGGCGGTTGTAATCCTCAGCTCTATTTGGGGCTTTTTATTGCGTTGTGCATTTTTGTGAATGTGTTTCAGTCAGGCAGTTAACTATTGAAGAGGAAAGATTACGCAATATCGATGGAGGCGTTGCCGTGTTAGCAGATATTTTCTACATGCCTTTCGCACGTAAGAGAAAACAGAGCAAACAGTGGTGTGTAGTTCAGCCGTGTAACGCAGAACTGAAGTCTTAAACCACAAAAGAACAAGTTCTGTTAATGGTTACATAGGGTCCTCAATTGTCTATGTTTAATTGGCATTCAATTCAATCAAAGTACTACCGTGTGATAGTATGTTTCAAGCGCTCAAAACCATGGAGCACTTGTTGGATATGTATGGCTTTCAAATGTGAGTTGGAAGGCTTATCATCCGGCAATTGGCGGCCCTCAACAATATGCGCTTCTGATCACGCTACAGAGATTGCGACCATTTGTTATTTGTCCTGTTGCCCAATCAGAATGGCGCTCATACTTCCAAGCTATTGCCTTCAATGCATAGCTCCCTTTGCAATCCCCCCACTTCACAGTCCACCTACAGTACTGCATTTACGCACTAATTTATCAGCTCCTACCTCCAATGCACAGCTACCTACCCCACCTCCCCGAATCATCGGTGAACGGGACTGTGGCAGCTACAACCAGTGTACGACAAGTACGCGTTTATCACAGCTGACAATGATGATGATGATGTAAGATTATTTGCAGTTTCGGTTTGATGGTTTCATTCAAAGAGTGCGTTGTTTTTTTCCGACACAGATGATTTTTTAATCTAGTAACGGCAGTTATTCACCAACTGAAATGACCTATTTTATTGTCCAGAGCACACCTCATCGGTGAGTGCTAATCACGATCGAAGACGCGGCAAGTGTAGTCGTCTTGAAGCAACACCCTGAAGGCGTCCATTGATAAACACAGTGATTCTTCTCAATTCCCTAGCACTAAACTCGACATCTTGGGCGTGCTCCGCAAACGAAATTAAGATCGATCAGAAATTCAGTCAACTGGAATGATCTAGAGATTTGTAGGTTCTAAGAAAACCAAGAAAAACCGCTTAGTGCTCCACATACCATTGTGAGACACTCTCTCTGCGAGAGGAGACTAAAATTGCCAAGCTCAGCGAGCAGTTTGACCAGTAACAAAACAGGTTGGCGTATGCATATTCCCTTCTCTATACTATCCTATTTGGAAGCACGATGGGGCACAACATTCAGAGCTCCAATTGGTGAGATTTGAATTGCATTCGTGATTAGAAGTTGGTGCTTCGTTCCCACCGTGTCATAGGTCCTCCGGTGATCGCGTAATGAGAAACGAGGTATTCCTCTACTTCATTTTACCCATCTT